CGGCTGTGGGGTGCCCGTGGGTCGGTGGTGGGGTGCCCGTGGGGATCTCTGTGGTGTGTCCGTGGGGATCTCTGTGGGGATCTCTGTGGGGTGTCCCTGGGGTACCCGTGGGGATCTCTGTGGGGCGTCCGTGGGGCTTCTGTGGGGATCTCTGTGGGGCTTCTGTGGGGTGTCCCTGGGGTGGCTGTGGGGATCTCTGTGGGGTGTCCATGGGGCTGCTGTGGGGTGTCCGTGGGGCTGGCTGTGAGCCCCACGCATCCCAGCCGCTCCCCGTCCCTGCAGGGCGCCGTGCCGGTCTCACCGGCTCACACCCGCGGACGATGAGCTCTACCAGCGGACGCGGGTGACGGTGCTGGAGCCGGAGTCCCCCAACACCATGTTCATCGAGGGCTACACCAACCGCGGCTTCACCATCAGCGGGGACCTGGTGGTGGGGCCCTGCGCCATCCTGCCCCGCGCCATCCTCCAGTGGAACGTGAGTACCCGGCGGCGGGGCACGGGCTGCTCGGCCCCCACCCGCGCTGTGGGTGAGCGTCCCGGGGGTCTGCCCCGCTCAGTGCCCTCGCTGTCCCCGCAGGTTGGCTCCTACAGGGACATCTCCCATGAGAGTCTGTCGCTATTCCGGCTGCTGGAGCCCCATATAGGTACGTGGGGCGGCCGGGGCCCTGCGCTGCTGCAGCCTGCCTGAGCTGGTTCCTGGGCTGGGCCTGGCTGCCCTTCGGGCCCGGCTGCCCGCCCCGCAGTGCCCTGCCGGCATTTTGGGGGAAGGAGCTGCTCTCTGGCATCCTTCTCCTCTGCAGCGGGGCAGGAGGGGCGCAGTGGGGCAGGCTCCCTCCTCACTTGGCCTCCGTAGGGGCGGCTGGGGGGGAATCTGCGGGCCCCCGCAGGGAGGGCAGGGAGGGCCGGGGCAGCCCTGCCCGCCCTTGCCTGCGGTCACGTCCTGGTTGCAGAGATCCTGGTGCTGGGCACGGGAGACAGGGTGGGGGGGGAGCGCCTCCCCCCCGCCGTGCTGAAGCAGATGCGGGCGTGCGGGATCGCTGTGGAGGTGCAGGACACGGTGAGAAGGGGTGTGCGGAGGGGTGCGCACGGGCAGCACCCCCGCAGAGGGGAGGGCGGTGGTCACTGGGAGTCGTGTTGTGTCCCCCCCCCCCCCCGGGCAGGAGGGAGGGGTTTGTGCGCCCCGTGGGGAAGGGCTGCATCTCCCGCCCGAGGCCTGGGGCTTCACTCCCTCCCTTTTCTATTTCACAGCCGAACGCCTGCGCAACCTTCAACTTCCTAACAAGTGAAAAGCGTGTGGCAGCCGCTGGCCTCATCCCTCCGCGGGGCACCTACATGGGGATATAGGCGCTGCCTGCCGTGGGCCAGGCAGCTCCTCCTCTTCCCTGCCTGGAGCCCCTCACCGTCACCGCTCCGGATGGAAAAAAACACGTTGGGATAAACCGTCGGAGCCAGGCTGCGGCTGAGCGGTGGCTCTCTGCGCACAGGAGGGGGTTGTGAAACGCGCGGCCTCGACTCTGCCCTGAAGCCCCTGCCTTCCCGGCACTGGGCTGGGGCTGCGGGGCACGGCACGAGGCCCGCGCATTGCCGGCAGCGCCGCACCCGCAGCCCTGCTGCTCTGCCTTGGCAGCGGGAAGCCGGCGCCCCGAGGCAGGGCGGAGGCTGGCGGGGCGAGCTGCGCACCCCTGGGCGTGTTTAGGGCTCCAGAAGGAAAATACACGTACATTGGAAGTAGGAGGCAAGCGCGTGTTGGTTACCGCACAGCAGAGCGAGGCTGTAACGCGTCCCCCTGGCTCGCGGTCGCGGGTGCCACCCCTGGGGATGGGGTAGGGGTACGCCTGCCTAATCGCAGACTCGTTCCCCAAACCCTGCCGCCTCCACAGGCCCAAGGCAGGGGGGATGCGGCTGCGGCCCCCAGCCTTGAGGCCGACCGTGGGCTGGCTTTGCTAAATGAGCCAGCTGCGTTAACGACTGTTTGACGCTGACACAATTACGTTGTAATTCAAGGCTCTGGTTTTAGCATGTGTAAATCTAATTTGACATTGCTGTGCTGCAGAGTGATGATTTTTTTTCCAGTCAACAAAACGCTGATGGTAAACGCTCTCTTCGGCAGGAGCGACATTTGCATGTGTTGGGGGGCTGATACACAGCTAAAATCCCTCTGGCACCTGGTGCTGCAAGCACAGGTAACCTGGCCACGCAGGGGAGGCGTGCAGGAACGCAAATCCTGGCTCCTTTATAAGCCCGCAAGCTCTTAGTTGTGCTCTTCCAAGTTCGTTGTCCACACGCCTTCTGGCAAACACCCAGGATGCGAAGCCTGCGCGAGTGATCTGTACCAGCCGCGCCACCCGGCCTGAGGGGTGCGGCTGCTGGGGCAACGTGGGGACGAGCATCTGGGGGGTGCGGGGGAACAGCATGGGACGTTTAGGGGCAGAAAGAAAGGGTGGATTGGTGAAGGAAGCGAAGGAGAGCGCCAGGGAAGGAGAACAAGGGCAGCAGAGAAGGAAGAGGGGCTCCAGGCTGACACCAATTGCACGTCTTTTCCTCTTTTATTGTAAAAGACGACCACCGCGTGCAAGGCTCCAGGCGCCAGCCTGGGATGACTGCTCCTGGGCGGCGGGTGGGCCTTCTCGGGTGGTGATGAAGCAGCCGAGGGACACAGGGAGCTCCAGGCAGCCCACAGAGTAATGGCACTTCCACAGCAAGAGCAGCTCCTGCGCAGGGTGGCACAGGGTCGAGCGGCACGATGACGGACACAGACGGACCAACCTCCTTCAGAAGAGGCGCTTCTCGTACCTGTCAGGGGAGCAGCAAACCGGAGAGCCCCTTCACTGACCCGCCTGACCAGGGCAAGGACCAAAGGCGCAGTTAGGAACGGCTCCTGGCCTGCCGGCCCGTGGTGGGAAAGAGCCCCGGCACGCTGGCGGCGAGCAGCTCGTCTGCTCCTGCCCTGCTGCGAGAGCAGCGCCAGCCCGGGCCAGGCGACAGGCCGCGGCGCAGCAGGAGGCGAAGCCAGCAGCGTGCTGGCCGAGGCACAGGACGGCAGCACTTAACTCCCCCCGCAGCGCCCATCCCAGGGAGATGGGGGGTCCCTGCCAGCAGCACTTACGAGTGGAGGCCATGCACCCCTCCTTCCACCTGGGCAGACGTCGTCCTCTTCTCAAACTTCAGCTCTCCCGAGTACATCATGGCTCTGGGGGGAAGGACACGTGTCACGTGCCAGCCGGAGCCCAGGGACAACAGCGCTCCGGCACGCGTTCGGCTGGAGCTGCTGGGACGAGGGACGCTGGTTCCTCCAGCTGTGGCCAGAATGGTTTTTGCTGTGCTCCCAGGAGCCGGGCAGAGTAAGGGAACCCCGACATTTCAGGCCCAGAATAAGCCGCAGGAGAGCACGCTCCTGCATCCCTGGCAAATCTATGATGCAGTGCCCACCTGAGAGGGCTACAGCGAGGTCAGACCATGCCACAGCCCGGGTGCAGCTCGCCCAGAGACCCCCCAAATGGCAGCACCATGGCCCGGGCAGAGCACAAGCGAGGGGAAGCACTCACCGGACTTGGGTCAGGCTCTTGGCACCAATATCCTGGCAGGAA